ATGCACGGTGATAACCAACTGAAATCTAGGTTTCACGACGACTGGTGGAAGGAAAGATTTTTAGAGAAAGAAACTCTGGTTTTAGAGAGAATGTGAGAGAGAGTGTGTGTATGTGGAGGAAAAATTTTAAAAAAAAAACCTCAAAAAAGGCTTATTTATAGGCCACCAAAACAACGTCGTTTTGGCCTCTTAATCCACACCTGAATAGCATAAGATCCATGCCTGACATGACTCATTTGTAAGTTTTTCTTTTTTTATTTTATTTTATTGTCTAATTTTAATTTTAATTTATTTTATTTTTGTTATATTTTTGTTAGATTTTTTAAAATATATTTTTTGTTTAAACAAATAATAATAATAATAATCAATAATTATCATGAGTGATAATTTTAATATAAAATTAAGAATAAACAAAAACCCTTAATCTAAAATAAATCCTAAAAAAATTATTAAGGAAAATAGAAATAGTTTTATTTCCCTTTATTTTTTTACAAAAAAAAAAAATTTCTTGAATTTTGCTAAAGTGTTTGGATGATTCAAGAAATTACTTTTACTATACAAAATACTAATAAATAAATAAATAATTACTTATTTGAATAAATATTTTAAAAATGCAATTTCTTTAATTAATGCAAGTAAAAGTATTTTTAGATTTTGCTGATGAGTCGGAATAATCTAAAAATTATTTTTGTAACTAAAATAAATATTTGTTTCAATAAAAAATGAATAATAAAAAAATAAAAGTGTTTGTTTAAATAAATCTCTTAATTGTTAAATAAAAAGAAAATATTTGTGGATTTCACTAAAGAGTTGGGATAATTTAAAAAGTTATTTTCACTAAATAAGGATTTATTTAAATAATAAAAATGACAAAAATAATGAATAATAAATAATAAAAAAATAAAACCAATGTTTAATCAAATCACTTTAGTAAGAATTTTAAGAAAAATTGAAAAAATCTCATTTTTCTTAATTATCATCAATAGAAATGATTTTTTTTAGGATCTCTTCATAAAGTTAGGATGATCCTAAAATCTATTTAAAATATTTTAGAATTTCATCGAAAAATCAAAATAACTCTAAAATCAGTCGAAGAAAATTTTGGGATTTTGCCAAAGAGTTGAGATAATCCTAAAATTAGCTTTATTAAATAAAGTACCTTATAACAAAATTTTAAAAATTTTATGAATGGTCAATTTTTTTAATATTTTTTTAAAATAAAGATATTTTCTATGAATTTCATCAAAGTGTTGGAGAATTTACAAAAAAAAAAAATAATAATTTCTTAATAAAAAATATATTTTTCATAAATAAATTTAGGAAGTCAAATATAAAGAAGACCAAAATATCAAAGTAAATGGAGACACATGTTTAATTGGTACCATTTTTTGAACGAGCAATGTTTGGGTACTAATACCTTTTTCACTCGTAACTGTATTTTAAGACCCAATCTTAATTTTGGCATATTTAAATATTTTTTAATAAATCTTAATTAATTTTGATATTTTTATTAAAAAATTATGTTTTTGGGTGATCAATCATACCGTATAAAAAAGATGATTGGTGGCAAATTTGAAAACCTTCATCAAATCTAATGATCGAGTCTATCAAATGAAAAATTGTTATGACGTGTACAAAGAGATCAAATGAGTCCAATACTTTTCGTATTTGTCTTTTTGGTAATACAATTAAAGATATTTAAGAATTTTATTTGGACATAATTTATTTTTCAAATAATTTTAAGATACATTCTTTCATACACACACATACGAAGGAATTTAAATATTGTGACAATTGTCATTACAAAAATGTTAAGTATTTTGTGAGATTATACAAAAGGTTTTAGAACTCTAATAAAACGATCATTTTGCCCTAAAAAATTAAAAATATTAGAACTTTTAATGGCATTTGTATATGTTCATTTTTTGTTACTAACATATTCTTTCTTTAATAGTAATAAAGTTGTCTTACAAAGACTTATGCCATCGTATTTCGTCGTTGGCTCCACCGCTTTTCATGGAATAATGCAACTTGTTCTTTCTTCAACTTGGCTTTGTATAAAGGGAGCTTAGCTTTGTAAGCTTTTGGTGATAATGAGCAGTGAACATAAAAGCTCTATGAAAGAAAAAGATAAGTATCTATATTTTAAGAAAAAGGTTAAAAGAAAATCTTTTAATTATTTTCATATTTGATTCATTAAGTGAAATCGTCTAAAACATCTTTAATATTGAAGTTAACTCAAGAACCTTGTCATATCGATATATCAAAAAAATAAAATTTGTTTTAAAATTTGATTAAAGGTGTTCTCAAACTTTTTCTGAATATAATTATCTCCTTCAATGATTTTAAGGACGCATTTTTTTTCATATAGATTTAATGAATTCGAAATTTTATTGACAAAAATAATATTTACAAAAATCAAACCTTGAAAAGAAAAAAGAATCCTCTTCTTAAGGACTGGATTATTGTTTCTGTTTATTTCTCGTTACTTTTATGATTCGTCCGAGAGCTTCTCGTCAACTAAGTTATTGATTTTTAGGTAAAATAAGCATTTGATTTTATAACTACTGTTTCACAACTAAATGTAAAATATAAAAAATATATATATAGTTAAGAAAAAAACAACGTTATTACTTAATTAATGCAAAAAAAAAAAAAAACATTTTTAAATCTTTTTGAAGTATTATCTCGTAAAAATACTACTTCATTATTTGCAATGAAAAGAAAAGTAAAATTGTAAAATGATAAATTTTCAAATTTTAATATTTTACAATTACCAAACAACATTTTTATATGTAATGTTTAACTTTCAGTGAAATATCAAACAGCTCTTATAATTTAAATTCAAGAGTTATCAATTTTAGTGTTAAAAATAGAATATTTAATTTTTAACACTTAATTTTTCAGTTTAGTAAATAGAACCTAAATCTCATTATCTCTTTTATTAGTTGTACAAATCGAGTATTTATAATTTCGTCATTGTTATTTTGGTCGAATGATTAACGAATTCTTCTGTCAAATATAAATCGATATGCCATTGATCATGTTGATTGATGCTAGTTCAGGGTAAATCAAAAATAAAAATTTTTTTTTTTCTTTTTTTTAAAATGATGATCATACGATATAATTAACATTATAAATATTTTTTAAATTATATTAAAATATTTAATACAATATCTTAATTTAAAAAAACTTTAATCTAATATTTAAATTATAAATTTATTAATTAATTTGATAATATTTTAAATTTAATTAAAATTTAAATAATAATATATAACGAATAAATAATCTTTCAAATATCATAATAATTAATAAATTTATAATTAAACTGTGGCATTAAAAATTTTAATAAAATACATTCAAATCTTTAAATTTTAAACATAATTCAACTTAAGTCCATTAATTTAAAAAATAGACGTCATGTCTCAAAACTTTTTAATTACTAAGATACTAAAGTTTTTATATTAGTTAACTTCGTTAAAAGGTTCGTTAAAATATTATTTTACTCATAAAAAATCAATATTTTCAAATATTCACATAAAATGATTATTTATAATAATAATTTTTTCTTAAAATATATTAATAATATATAAAAAAATTCGGTGCAATATATAAAAATAAAATTCACAATTATAAATAACATTTTTTCAACCAAATATTTTTTCTTATTATATTTATGTTAATAATATTTTTTTCTTATTATAATTTTCAATTTTGTTTTTATATATTGCACCTAAAAATCTATTTTATATATTATTAATATATTTTATATATTTAAAAAATTTATTATTATAAATAATTATTTTATGTGAGTATTTGCTTATTATAAGTTACATGTTTTTATAGGTATTGTAATATATAAAAACAAAATTTATAATTATAAATAATATTATTTTTCAACCAAATATTTTTTTCTATTATATGTTACATGTTCTTATTATGACATTTTTTTCTTATTATAATTTTAAATTTATTTTTATATATTGCACCTAAAATTTTTTTATATATTATTAATATATTTTAAGAAAAGCTATTATTATAAATAATTATTTTATATGAGTATTTGCTTATTATATATTACATGTTCTTATTATAACATTTGTTTTTATTATAATTCACAATCACAAATAACATTTGTTTCAACCAAATATTTTTTTCTTATTATATGTGATATATTCTTATTATAACATTTTTTCTTATTATAATTTTGAACTTTTTTATATAGTGCACCCAAAATTTTTTTTTTATATTATTAATATATTTTATATTTTTTAAAAAATTATTATTATAAATAATTATTCTATGTGAGTATTTGCTTATTATAAGTTACATGTTCTTATTATAACATTTTTTATTATAATTTTGAATTTTGTTTTTATATATTACACCTAAAAATCATTTTTATATATTATTAATATATTTTATTGATTTTAAGAAAAAATTATTATTATTATAAATAATTATTTTATATGAGTATTTGCTTATTATATGTTACATGTTCTTATTATAATATTTTTTATTATAATTATGAATTTTGATTTATATATTATACCTAAAAAATCTTTTTATATATTTTTTAAAAAATTATTATTAAAATAATAATTTTATATGAGTATTTAAAAATATTGATTCTTTAGTGATAAAATGATCTTTTAATGAGTTTTTTTAATGAAGTTAACTAATAAAAAGATCTTAATATATTATTAATAAATTATTATTTTTTGATTTATTAATAATAAATAAAATTTATATATCAACAGTGTATCAAATATAAATTTTTAAATAAAATATTTTGAAATTGAAAATTTACTTTTTAAATTAATAAATTTGAATTGAATTATATTTAAAATTTGTGGATATATTTTATTTTAAAAAATTTAAAAGATAAGAAATGAAATTGAACATTTCGGAGAACCCCGTCGTCGTAAGATCTAACCGATCTATTAAGAAAATGCTTACGCTTTACTGTAGATTTCTTCATGTTTTGGTTTGTCTCTTTCTCTTTCCTTCCCCGTTGGCCGTTGCCAACTAACCACAGTAGACAGCTCCCTTAATTTGCTATATATAAACACTACCCCACCCTCTCTGCTGCAATCTACCCAACCTCACTCGTAAGTCATAACTTTGTTTCCATGGTTCTTCTCTTCAAAAATCTGCCCTTTCCTTCCGTTCTCCTTGTCTTTCTTTCCTTCCTCACTTCTTTATGCTCTCTCTCAACACAAAACCAGAACACCTCCGTTTCCTTCTCTTTTCCACTTACTTCCCTCCGTTTATCTCGTAACAATGTTCAAACTCTGTACCCTTTTTTTGTTTCGGAAGGCAGCCAAAACCCAGGCCTTCGGCCAACCCCATCTTCATATAATTTTAAAACAACGTTCAAGTATTCAATGGCTTTGTTAGTGGCTCCACCTATAGGCACTCCACCGCAGACTCAGCAGATGGTGTTGGACACTGGCAGCCAACTCTCTTGGATTCAGTGCCACAAAAAGGTTGGACAAAAGCCGCCTCCTCCGGCGTCGTTTGATCCTTCTCTTTCCTCTTCGTTTTCTGTTTTGCCATGTAACCATCCTCTCTGTAAGCCTCGAATTCCCGATTTTACCCTCCCTACATCTTGCGACCAGAACCGTTTATGCCACTATTCTTACTTCTACGCCGATGGAACACTTGCTGAGGGCAACCTCGTCAGAGAAAAGTTCACGTTTTCACGTTCCCAAAGCACCTCTCCTCTGATCCTTGGTTGTGCCACGGATACCAGCGAAGACAAGGGTATTTTGGGAATGAATCTTGGACGATTATCTTTTGCTTCCCAAGCTAAAATTTCCAAGTTTTCTTACTGTGTGCCGACTCGTCGAATGCAACCCGGGATTTCACCCACCGGGTCGTTTTTTCTCGGTGCAAACCCAAATTCCATCGGGTTTCAGTATATTAACCTTTTGATTTTCCCTGAAAGTCGAACCATGCCTAATATGGATCCTTTGGCTTACACCCTTCCAATGCAAGGGATAAGAATAGGAGCCAAAAAACTGCCAATTCCCACATCCGCTTTCCGCCCCGATGCAGGAGGGTCGGGCCAAACCATGATCGATTCGGGTTCCGAATTCAGTTACTTGGTTGATGAGGCCTATAACAAGGTGAGGGAAGAGGTGGTGAGACTGGTAGGTCCCAAGCTTAAGAAGGGTTTCGTGTACGGAGGAGTAGCTGACATGTGTTTCGATGGCGGTAACCCAATTGAGATCGGACGGTTGATAGGCGACATGATGTTGGAGTTTGAGAAAGGGGTGGAGATCACCGTTGAAAAGGAGAGGATGCTAGCTGATGTTGGAGGTGGGGTCCATTGCTTGGGGATCGGACGGTCGAATACGCTTGGGATTGCAAGTAACATAATCGGAAACTTTCATCAACAAAATCTGTGGGTGGAATTTGATCTAGCGAATAGGAGAGTGGGATTCGGTAAGGCTGATTGTAACAGAGCAGTATAGAGGCATTATTATGGTGATTTATTTTTGGTACACTTTTTTATTTTGATGAGAATGGGGTACTAGACCAAGATGATAGGGTCTAAATGAATGTAGATGACACGTGTCACGTGTTGAAAATGGCTTTGGTGATCCGTATTTGACATTATAACATGGAGGTTTTAAGCATGCATGTACTTTAGTTCCTGTGTTGTGTGGTGTTAGTTGTTGGGATGAGTTGTTGGGATGAGAAGGGAGACTATATGTAATTATAAGAGTGTATATATGTAAAATTATGTTATAAAAAAATCATCGTTTATTTATGCTTTGCTCTCTCATACCTTCACTATTTTTTATTTTTTTTTTTGGCTTTTTTATTTGTTTTATTTTAATAATACATATCACAAAATGATTGTCAAAGAAGTACTATTAAAAAAATAATAGAAGAAAATAGTATTATAGACTGCAGGCGGCAATTAACAAGGACAACTGCAAATCACAGGTCAAATGGAAAATGACACAAAATTTTGGTTAGAACGATAATAACAAAATAAAAGGCTTTGGATTGGTGACGGTCATCACGAAATTCAACAACTTTCTTTGTTTGATTTGGTGGAAACAGACATCTCTCCAGCCGAAGTGATTGTTCATGTATCAACACTTTAAAATAGGAATGTATCACTTCACTCCGCTGCTCCATCATATATATTGTAAACTTTTGGTCTTCCCTCCCATCACTTTCCGTCTTATCCTTTTTTTAAATATGCTTTAGTACAAGAACATCGTAAGGTTAATTAAAAATGAATTTCAATATCTATTTAAACGTCAAATTATTTTTTATAAAATTACAATCTTAAATAAAAGAAGGGATTTTTAAAAATTCATAAATATTATTTTAAAAATAATATTTATGAATTAATTAAATTTTAAATTTTGTAATTATAAACCTAAAAGTATAAAGGTATCTTTTTAAAGGTATTTTTAAAAATTATTCCAAAATTTTACATGAAATATATATTACACCATCCTTAAATTTTTAATTCCACTAATTAGTATAAAATTAAATGAACATATTTATAGTTTATAACAAGAGATGAGGTAAATATATTATGATATTTATGAACATTTGGTGCAACGTAAATACGCATATACCGACTTGATAATAGCGAGAAGTAATAAAAAATAATAAAAATCACATTATTACAAGAAAAAGGTGGGTCCAGGTTTTGTTGGATGTATGGCACGTAGACGACAGCTTGTTTCGACTCTTTCGCCGACTTAACCGAAGACTGGTACCCTTTTATTCCCGACAATCACATTATTAATTAATCTTAATTAAACCTAAACATAAGCATATTTACTTTTTTATTTTTACCTTTTTAACCTCTGCACGTGGCCACTTATATCATCTATGAATCATGTCTCATTCTCACCAAAGTTCATCGCATTCTTGACTGAAGCAAATTTTAAAAAATAAAATCGGATCTAGATGGATAATATATCCAATCTCCTTCGTTTATGAAAAATTTTGTGTTTGGTTCATAAAAATAAATTAATTTTTTTAATTTTCATAAAAAATAAAAAATAAGTAAAAAATTTTTTGGTTGAAAAAATAAAAAATAATTTTTTAAAAATAAAAATAAAAAAGGACGAAAATTAAAGGAAAAAAAAAACTGTTTTCATTATTTTTAATGAAAGCATTTTTTGGAAGAAATGGAAAAAAAACAAAATTCTTTTAAAAAGTTTTACTATTCATTGCAAATCACCAAATGACCGAGGTTCAAATCACTAAATAAGCAACAAAAATAGAATAATGAAAATTTTAGATAAAATTTTAATATAAGAATAAAAATAAAATAAGAAATAGAAAAACAAAAAATAAGAATAAAATACGAACAAAATAAAATTAAATAACTAGAAATTAAATAATTTTAAAATTTTTTCATAAAATATTTAATGAATCCGATAATATAATATCCTCAAAAAAATGAATGCATTTTTTGAATACTCATGAAATAAAATTTTTTAAAAAAATTAACTAGAACGTTAGAAAAACAAAAAAAATTTCCAATATTTTAAATAATAAAATTTAATTAAAGATAAAGACCTTTTTTAACTAAGAAATTTTAGAATAATGTAAGATTAAGAGCCTTTTAACTATGAAATTTTAGAATAATATAAGATTAATTAGAAGTCCTTGGAATAAAATATAAGAAATTACTATAAGATTATAATTATAAAATCATATAAGATAAATAAGAAGTCTTTAGAATAAAATATAAGAAATTTTATAATAATATAAGATAAAGTTCTTAGAATAAATAAAGCTTTGCAAGAAAATTATTATAACATTATAATTATAAGATCATTATTGCATAAAACCTATTTTGTTAAAATGTTCCTAAATAATGCTTTATCAAGAAATGATATTTATAAAAGCTGTTGTGAAGAGCACTTGATTATTCTTTTACTTTTGAAGTAAGCAATTAATGTCATAAGTGGAAATTTGAATAAACTTAAGTTAACATATAAGTATTTGTTGTAACAAGAAGTTCACTTAACATGACCCAATGTGATAATGTTATTTGGTAATTCACCTATTGTCTATTACAATATCGTTATGTGATGGTTGTATAATTAATCTTTTAACTTGAGATTACTAATGATCTTATATGATGAATGTTATATTTTGATTAGACCCTACTTATGGCTTTAACCATGGATACTCTAGTAAGATATTATTAGGTAGAACATGAGGCATATGAAAATGTATGAGTAATGAATATAGGGTTGTGTAATCAGGTGAAAATCTCACTTAGTCTTGAATGAATTAACTTAAGAAATATTTGGTTATAGTGGAATAAAGATTATAGTGGTTCTAAAGGTTTTTCAAGAATTAATGTCAAAGCCAAAACTTAATATGGTTGAACAAAATTTAGTAAATACTAATCCATATTCAATGTTAAACCGATATATTAAGTGATAAAAAGATATTAATTATATTGAAAGACTAAACACGATAAGGTATGTCAAACCATATCAATATTCCCTAGCAATTTAAGCTCATGACTTATTGCTAGATAATAACCATGATCTATAAATATAATATTGATTAATTAGAGAATTAATGATGAATTCAAAATGATTTTGATTCATCTAATTCGAAATACAATCAAAGATTACAAATACTTATATTTATTGTCAACATGTTAAAGAAGCTTATAAGCCACAAACGATAGAACATGAGGTAAAGGATTAAAATTGAGACAGATTAAATTGGATTCAATTTGTTAGGTCAAAGCCCTAAACAGTGAAATAAGTAAAAGTTCAATACCTATTAAGATATGGTATGGCCAACCATATTGAAAATCCTATTGAGAATAGGATTTGGCAAGGGACAATTCTATTTGGAATAGAATTAGGCACATACAACCCTAATAACAAAATGTTGAATGCCCTATCTCTATTTAAAAGACTCGGGCTGCCCTTTTTATATGTAAGTGATTAGATGTAATTAGCATTAGAGTAATATTACTATTATCTCATGTGTTGAGAACAAATTGAGAGAAAACATGAAATATGGCAATCGATATTTTACTAGCATAAGATTCGACTAGACTTTCTCCTATCCTTTTGTGAAGGTTATTTCCTTATTGTTCGTGTGGATTATTTTTATAAGCCTAACACTTGGATAATGCTATAACCAAACTTGAGGTTCTTGAGGGCACCAACATATAACAAAGTAAGTGAAAAAACCACTCTCGTTGATTATGCATGTATGTTTATGCTAGTTCTTGTCAATATGATCCACGCCTTAAAAGATTAAAAATTTTTAAATTCCTTTCACTTTAACTTTTATGCAATTTAATTTTTCATGATATTTAATTTTTTCCATTTACTTTTATGTTATTTAAATTTCCATATTGAGTTGCCTTTAATATCATGCATTTTAATTTCAATCTTTTTAATTTTTTTTAGTAGATGTGAATATACCTAGATGCCCCTTAGTAGTTAGCATTAGGCCACCATCGTAATCCTTGAGAAACGATATTTAGGATTATTTACTCTATATTACTTGTGCGATCCGTACACTTGTAGTAGTCTAATAGGGACTCTTTGAATAGAGTTTGGTGAAGCCATGAAGCTAAGACTCTTTAAGAGAGTTTTGGTGGAACTGGGACTCTTTGGGAGAGTTTTGGTGGAACTAGGACTCTTTGAGAGAGTTTGAATGGAATTAGACTCTTTGGGCAGAGTTTTAGTTTGGTGTCTATGCTATTGATGATGTTTTGGAATGGTGGGGACAAAACTTTGTGTTGGTGTGGGTGAGATTAGTGAAAGTGGAATAATTAATCCATTTTGTTAAGTGGGTACTAATTGACGGGTGTGGGTGTTGATTGGCTAGGTCGTGTTTTGGGTTTTAGGTTTTGGTGTTTGGTGTTTTGTCAAGCAAAGGTTCAAAAGGTTTTGGGGGTTTTGTTTGAGACTCAAGGCTATTCCAACGACTTAATGTGAGTTAAGGAAACTTTTAAGAACTAGAAATGGAGGTTTTAAGAAGAGTTCTTTAAAATTTTAGGAAAAAGATTGGGGAAATCTTAAAATGGAGTTTCTTAGAGAGAAAGAAAAAAACTACTTGAGGCATGTTGAATGAAGAGCTGGAAAGGGCCATTTATAGTGAGGGCTTGAGTGTTGGAAATGAGGGTTAAACTCTATCATATTAAAGAGATAATTCTAGTGATTAATTGTCAAGATATATTTTTAAGAAAAATCACATTTATCACCCAAATTATCTCACTATGGTATTTATTTCAGTTATTTATCCTTTAAAAAGTTAATTATCATTTGGTAATGTCATTTTGGGAGGATAGATTCAAAAAACGCAAAATTAATCATGAAATTCGACCAAAAACACGATCGAATTATCTCATTATGATATTTATTCCAGTTATTTATCCCCTAGAAAGTCAATTTATCATTTGATAATATTATTTTAGGAGGATAAATCCAAAAAATACAAAATTAATCACAAAATTTGACCAAAAACAAGATGGGCTGATCAACACTTGAGATTTTCTATTGGCGGTGCAATTCTAACATCCTAATCCTAACTTCAAATAGCCATAATTTTCACATATGATGTCATAATCGAGTGATCTTTATATTGTTGTAAAGAATAGAGAGTCAAGATTCCAATGAAACTAGTTTCATTCAAAAATTAAAAATATTGTATAAAATATGTCAAAAACATTAAAGGTATATTATATTTCAAGGCATGCTTCATATTTTAGTCATATCTTATTAGATACTAATCGTATTTGAGCTTATAATATATCAAAAGAAAGGGAATTAAATGATTTTTCTAACAATTAAAATCTTATCTAATAATTCCAAGTATTGCACAAGTTATAAGCTTCAAAATCAGATAACATCAAATATAAAAATACAAATTTTTGAAATAGTTTATATGCATAACATATTAATTTCGATTTGCCAAAAAATTTCCAAAGTCCAAAAATAATTTTAAGTGTCCCAAAACCTTTTCAAAACCCAATTTATTAAGTGCAAAGTTTTGGACTTACACAAGTTTCAAAAAAGGATGAAAATTAATACTCATCATAGTTTGAAATCTTACAAAAACTTAGTTTTAATTTTAAAATAATGCTAACATATATGCAAATTCGTTAGCTTTTAGAACCTTATAGATATCTATAAGCTTTTAGAAGTTTACAGATATTCATATTTGTAAGCTTATAAAAGCTAACAGGTTTGCATATATAAAAACTTAGAAAATGCAAATCAATATGCTTCTAAAAACTTACTCTTATAGATATGCAACAGATATGGCAAAAATGAAAGGATGTGGGGTAAATAGAGGTGGGGGACGTGGTGTAATTAATCTTAGTGCAAGTATGAATCGAAGGAATCTGACTGCATTTGAGAGAAAATCGTCCAAAGGATGATATTTTGTTTTAGAAAGTAACCCATTGATTATAAGCACAAAGATGATGCCAATAAGCTATTTAAACCTTTCTTAAAGTTGTGACAGATACGTTTATCCTAAAGAGTTTTAGTTTTTATATTCCAATTAATATATGGAATGGCCAGGTAATCATTTCAATCACATAATCTGTTTAGGCTTTATTCTTATTGCTTAATGTTTATAAAGTTAATAACAAGATTATAATTGTTGTTATTATTGTTATAGGGTTTAGGGTTTAAATTGATAGCTTCTAAATGATGTCCACCAATGTATCCATGCCAATGTAATTTAATCAGGGTTGGCATCATTGATTAAGTGCACGTATTGACTATTGAATAATACGATAGTGTCAGCAATTTGTGAAAGGTTGTAGCCTAAGACAAACACCTTTCACTTACCATTCTGTGAGATGACAATCAAGCTAGATGATGTGTTTACCATTTACCATATACCAGTTATTGGGGCCATGGTATCATTTTAGTATGTGATGGTTGATGAGGCGAACACTATATTGGTTCAGTTAGTTAAAGTGACAAAGGTTAACGCAGCTAATAAAACTAAAGGCTGTTATGAACTATCAATAAGGCTATAGTGGTAGTAGGATATTTTTAAAGTTGTGACGAATACATCTTCTTATTGAGCCGTAGAGTGTGCTATCAAGGCAATGTTGCTCAATTTGTTAAGGTGTATGTTATTAATTGATAAGAGTGCAGTTAAAGTATCAATAGCATATTTAGCCTTATTGAGCAACTTTAATGCCACCAGATCATATGCTTAGGGGCAGATTTTTTGACATATTTGTCTAGGCAGCTTAATATTGCAAGCAAGTTAGACATGTTATTTATACTTCTTCAAGTATGTATATATGATTAGTTATATGGTATTTTAATTATTTGTTCTTTGATACAAACGAACATGTGATTAATGATTACTTAAGTATTTAACATATGTATGAATTTATGGGCACTTTCCACCACTGAGTCTAGTACTTATATTGTTATATTCGAATAAAATACCTCGTGCTCAACGTTGAAAAGCTTGTACTTGTATAGATACATTATAAGCATTATAAGAGGGATTGGATGACTTGCAATTATCTATAACAATATCTTCATGTGATGATTCAAGAAGAAGAGTAATTAGTGCTTTATTTAGAGTTTTTTTAGGGTTTTATTTGTACTTATATACTTATAATTTATGTTGTATACAAGAACTAATAGTTATATTTAAAATTAAATTGTGTCTGAATTACTTATATTGTTTAGTAATATTCAAATAAATTGTTATTGATTTCTCAATTTACATCACTAAAGGATCCTTTAATTGTCTATTTTTCATACGGCATCATTAGTTAAAACATTAACTAGCTAAAACATAAAAGATTTAGTTTTCCCCAAAACATGAAAAAAAAATCTAAAAACCTTAAACACATTGATTTAAGGAATCATATTATTCTAATAGTACACATAATTGTTTAACACATAATTAATCTACACATAAAATGAAAAAACATTCATCCTTGTTAACCCTAAGCCAACATATACAAAAGTGAAAAAAATTCATCATTGTCAAGATTACCAACATATTACCAACATAAATATAAAAGGTTTCTTGGGTGGCTAAATCTAAGTCTTTGCTAAGCAATAACTTGAAATCCTTAATGCAAGGTAAATAAGGAACCTTCCCTTCACATAGCACAGTCATATCGATGCCTAGGTAGTTGCATAAAACCAAAAGTACTGGTGAAACCAGATCTAATAACACATGTAAAAAAAGCTCGTTATACGCTTTCAAATAAAACTATCAAATATAAAACTAGTACGTAACATATAATTTTGGTACTTGCATTAAATGATAATCATTAACAAATCCAATTGCAATAACTATTTGTTCTATTGTTGCAGGCGATACAAATCTAAATGAGAAATATGTTAGGTATTGTATTGCATTTATGTGGACTTTCAAGACACAATACTACGAGACTATGAAATGACTCATATCAGGTAAGGTCATCTACTTATTGTATGAGGTAAAAGTCTCGAAATAGGATAATGTTTCTAATAATTCTTTAACACACTCAATAAATCCATACAAACTAACATATACTTAATAAACTCATAAATCAAATCTCGTTGAACTTGTGACCAACCATTTAAATCCATACAAAGCAACTCAACAATAAAACCAAATCGCAATGTCCATCTGCCTTAACATTCATGATGTTCTATATGTATGGATACAACTTTATTAGAAAACTATCAATATATCACATTTTGTGTTTACCTTAGGAACAATGAACAAGTAATTTATTCCTCTCCATCACTTAAATAAAATTAAAGTGGTTGGAGATGTATTGTCCTAAGTAAACAACGCTATTTCAAAGTGTGAAGTGTTGGATCGAGTAGATGTATTTACTTTCATAGCCTTGCAACCTTTTGTCTTAGCCTTCTCTGGTGGTGAAACTAAGAAAGTTGTTAAAAGGTCATCAAGTTCTATTGACTTTCTTTTTAATGTTAATTTACTAGCCTTATCACATACGATGAAGCATTTTACAATATGCTTGATCTTATAGAGATTGATCAACTTAAAAGATATCTCATTAACTTTGCTTTTTATCAAGTTCAACTTTGTCTAATGAAAATGTAGTTCAAATAAGGAAATTAGATATATTCTACAATTTCATGCACACAAGGTAATCCATGTGTGCCTTTAATCACACAACATAAGCGTGCTTGTTAATCCTAACTTAATTTACTCACTTGGCCTTACTCTCACTTAACCTTACTCAAAATCATATTAAGTACGCTCATAGATACCTAACCCTTAACTTTTTAAATAATGTTGTCTTATTATTGTGTTCAACAATTGTTAAACTTCTTACAAATGATGTATTTATCTACATATATTGTAGCTCAATAAAAAAATTATTATCTTCCATGATGATTCAAAATTTTTTTGAAAGGATCTAAAGTGCCTCTTCAACTTTGCATATGCATTCTCAACCTTATACGAACTTAGAAAGGTATATTATAATGAATATTTTATTTTAAATTGTGAAAATCAAAATAACAGAAAATGATTTGCACCATACCTATTTGTTATAACATTACCAAATTGTGTTATTTTGTTCGTCTAAATAAAACCAAGCCTATCTTTATACCAAGTTAACCATTGATTCTTTACATAATCAAGTGATGCTTAATAAGAGTGATAATCAATTTTCCATGAATGTAGATGCCTTTGGTACTCATCCTTGATTGATGAAAACATTAGGATACTTTAACTACTAATCATCTTAAATGCACAACCACAACCACTCTTCTTTGTTCTTGTATCCTTACGAAGCATTTCTTTTATATTAGGCTTACTCTTTGGCCAGCTATATTTTGTACTACATTCACATGGCAATTGTATTCTACGTTTTTTTTTCTCTAAACTTTCCGATTAAGAGCTTTTAATCACAACAACAAAATCATTATCTTTTCCAACCTCCTTAGCCCATGAAATAATGGTTTCCCTGCAACAAAAACACTTACACATCATAATTGACTTATCACATTGTACCTTTATTCAAATGAAAGTTAATCTAAATTTTAAAAACCAATCTCACCACGTAATAATAAATGCAAAACTGCAATCAATTTTGCTATCCAAATGGTATAGTGATTGATGTAACTAAACTAGTAAAGTATCAAATTTTTTTTTCATATTTGAAAATTGAAAATTGTATAGTAATTGATGCAACTCGACCTATTTTTTTTTTTGCATTTCGTATCCATTTTTAGAATGTACAAAAATAATGACGATAAGTAATAATGGTTTAAAGTTTGAGATGGAGAAAAGAATAGATAAGTTTGATCTCGAGAAACTCAAAATAGGTGTATGTAAAAGAAGACATAATTAAAAGAGAAATTATGTAAGGTTAATTAAATAATTTAATAAAAGGGTAATTTTGTTAAAGAAAAAAGGAAATTCTATTTACATTCCCATTTTTACTCTATACACCCCGTTACTAAATACATTTTAATTTCAAATTAAATTTTCTATTTCTATTAAATATACCACATTCCTCAACAATTGATTTTCCTTTCATACCCTCAACATTTTTTCTTCTTTCTATTTTGTTTCTCTTTACTCTCAAACCAAATTAACCCTAAAATTATCAATTTTTTAATCTTCTATTGATTAAAAATAAGATTTGAAGATTTATTTCGTTTGATTTGATTTAAATGCATGCGAATATAGGCTAAGATTTACGAAATGGATTTTGCAAAATTCAAACTTCTCGAAAATCTATTTTCGAGAAGTCTTTAAGGCTATCACAAATTCATTTTCGAGAAACCTCATTTTCAAAAATACAACATAAATTTTAGAAATTTATTTTTGAGAATACATCATAATTTCAAAATTAAATTTTCATAAATATAAAAAAATCAAATTCAATTAGAAAAATACATTTTAATTTCAAACTTAAATTTTCTATTTCTATTAAATATACCACATTTCTCAACAATTGATTTTCCTTTCGTACCCTCAACATTTTTTCTTTTTTCTCTTTTTTTCTCTCTTTAATCTCAAACCAAATTAACCCTAAAATTATCAATTTTTTAGTCTTCTATTGATTAAAAATAAGATTTGAAGATTTATTTCATTTGATTTGATTTAAATGCATGCGAATATAAGTTAGGATTTACGAAATGGATTTTGCAAAATTCAAACTTCTCGAAAATCTATTTTCGAGAAATCTTTAAGGGTATCACAAATTCATTTTCGAGAAACCTCATTTTCAAAAATACAACATAAATTTTAGAAATTTATTTTCGAGAATACATCATAATTTCAAAAATAAATTTTCATAAATATAAAAAAATCAGATTCAATTAGAAAGGATGATGAAAGATGAAGAAAAAGAAATAAGAAAAGGAAAAGAAGAAGAAGGTAAAATTATAATTTATTAAAAGATAAATTTGATATTTGTTTTATGGATATTTTTGAAAAAAATTAATACAATGTAAAAAAAATTTTGAGTGATGTATTTAAAAACCTTTAAAGAAAAACTATGACTGCAATAAGCAATTTTTAGACTATATTTGATTTTTTTTTTTTCGTTAAATTATGTCAAAGATCATTATACTATACAAAAATTTAAAATTTAATCCCTCTATAATAATTTATATAAACTTAGCCTTCTTATTATTTCAATATAATAATTTCAGTTCAATTGTTAATGATGTCATAATTTCACCATTAAAATTGTTAATGTAATGCACAATAATTTGTTGAGATTATTTTTGGTGATAATATGAACTTAAAAATGCCATGTAGCATTAAAATTAACGTCATACCAAATCTTTAAATTTTATTTCTTTTTTTCCTAACCTAAATGATTTCATTTATCATTTTTAAAAAATCATTTCATTTATTTTCTAAATATGATTAACTAAAAAAATTAAAAAAACGATGAAAAAAAAAAGAAGTGAAAGCAAACCAAAAATCAATTGATTTCGCTCTCTAAACTTCAAACCTACCGTTCAATTCTCTCATTCTTCAACCTTCAATGAATTCTCTTCTCGAACTCTCTGCCCTCTCAAGCCAGGATTTCCATCGAACTCGTTAAGTGTCGCATGCAGCTTTATCACCGAGTTTGAAATCCAAACTTCTTCGTCGGCAATCGAGAGACCCGTCTCTGTCAATCCGATTAATGTTAAACGTAAATAACTGAAAAAAATAAAAATAACTCTGAAAATGAAAAAAAAAAAAAAAAAAAACGAAAAGAACATTATGTTCCAAACTTCCAGGGATGCATCCAAGGGAACCACTAGTTACACAAGAATCATGGATAGAAACATTAGGACATTGGGAATATGAATCTCACAGCGGCAATTTCACCATTTATCCCACCAGTGTGATGCTATCATCAAGTTTCGGCGTGATATGTTCGTTAGATCCTGAATCAGTTTGCTTTGGACCTACGGGGACAAACTTTGAGAAGTTAAAGAACAGTAAAGAAACATTGGAGTTTTGAGTTTTTTTGGGTTCGAGGACTGCAAAAAAAGAAAAAAAAATGGAAGTTAGGATTTTTGGAATTTCGGATTCAAGAAGTTTTAGGAAGTATTTTTCAAATCCCAACAGTAAAAATTTGGAAAAGAGTGAGGAGGAGGTTCGGAGAAAGTTTGAAGACCATCGGAGGTAGCTGCGGTAGTAGATTTAGATTCTTAAGATTTGGATTCTTTCGATTTTTTGTGAAAAAATAGGATTTTTTGAAAAAAAAAATCTAAACCGAATATTTGTAGAGGAGATTAAGGAGAACTTACAGGTAATTTTTTTGTTATTTTTCGACACTAGTGCATGGCGGCGACGGTCGATTATAGGAATCTGGGTTGTATGACTTCTGCGATTTGTTTTGGGTTGTATGAATATTCGAAGTTGTTTTATTTTTTTCAGTCATTCATATTAAACAAAATAAAATTTGATTATTATTTCATTTTCTTTATCTATTCTTTATACGATGCTCCAAAAATATATTCTTTTTTATCCTTTTAAGCGTCTAAAATTTTTAGGTTTTTATATTTAAAAAAAAAAATTATAATTTTTTTGATGTTTTAACATTAAAAATTATAAAATTTTAATTTTATTAAAATAATTTTAATCTTAATATGAAATACATTAAAAATAACTTTTTTAAAATTTCATAAAAATTAATATCGTTAAAATAATTTGAGATGAAAAAATAATTTTTATTTAATTAAATAAAAAATTAGTCTAACATGACTGACATATCATTTAATTTACATCATCAGCGATTATAATAATAATCAATCAAAATATCAATGATCATTTCATCTAATCAATGATTATATCAATATTTTTAAAAATAAAAATTTAACAAAATTAATAATTAAATTAAAATTATAAAATCAAAATAATATAAAAATTATATTTGTAAAAATTATAATAAGATGACTAAATTTTATATTTCATTCATTATAATTAAGTTTTTGTACTTGTGATTAAATCATACGAAAACGTCATGCTAACTTTCAGAAAACATAACTAAATCGGTCTGATGATTACTCTTAAAATATAAACCAAAATTTTTTTTATTGAAAACTTCAAATTTTGTTTATTAAAAACCTTTTTAGGTTCCAAATATATGCACCACATTTGACCGTATAATAACACAATTTCTTCCTACAGCATCCTAATATTCAACATCATTCTCCACAACAAAATAATAATAATAATAAACAAAAAAGGAATGATAGAGTGAACTGAGAAATACAAGTTTCTGTTAGACATCTGCTTGTCGTAATCAAATAAGGTTTAGATGATTCATATTTAGTGTAACACTGCAATGGCTCCCCCAAGCACATGTAAGCTTCCATTGCTGGTCTGAAGCACATTGTCCCAATCTGCTCTCTGTCATATGAAAGGCGCTACCAATCATTCATCATAAAATCTTTCGATTAAACGAAGTGACTGCTTCCCATATAGCGAAAACATACATACCTCTTGTAATCAGGGAATACCATCCAACTTCCTACTCACACTTGATAGATCGGTAAATGTGTCGAACAAAGAATAGAGATGCTCGGAAGCCAATGGCCCCAAGCATGAGGAAGAAGCCATAGCAAATGCAAGCCATGTACCCAAAGAAGAATGAGGTTTGCATGAAGCCTGACATGTCTGATCGCGCATTGTAGTAATACAAACAGTAGGCATATATGAACATCCCGGTAGACCCACCACATAGGAATGACCTAACAGACCAAAGAGAAATTCAGTTACGACCGGCTGATTATCAAAAAAGTGACATCTGAGATGGTATCCGAATGTCAGTTAATCATAAAAGTAATTCATATTAATAATTCTACAAGTGACCCAAGATTAACAGAAAATGATAGCAACTTGACATCTATGTAGAACGATATCATTTCACAGCTGTTTGCAGCCTCTCCTAAAAAATTTGAGTCAAGTTTCAGCATTAAAACTGGAAATCCAGGCTATTTTATATGGTTTGAAGCTTCATTCCATCTGAAGAAGCAGCTTAACTTGGGAATTGAGAAAAAATGTTATCAACAATCAGGTGCAAGGCATAATGTGGCAAAGATTCACTCAAATGCCTCGCATTCAGGCACCAAGGTTGATCTTGTCTGGCAAAGACTTAGAGATTACTATATAAAGAAAATGCATAAACGAGAACAGGGATCACAACTTTATGGCAATGTCCTGTAAGTTACAACAGAGTGCCAAGATGTATCCCGTGTTGACCACCTAAAGCGATGCCAGTGATGAAACATCATCATAATATTATTATGCTATCCCTTTGTGGAACTTTAGGGTTTGGGTTTACTCTTTTTCCATTCTTTATTTGTTTTGGTACTACAGACTAGCTGACATTTACTGTAATAACATGCAAATTCACAGTAATTTATTTATGAACTTCTCAAACAAGTAGAAGACAAAATAACAAGTCAACTACCACAAGCAGATAAAAGCAATTTCACCCCTAAACTATGACTTTAGTATCACAAGAAAGATCATACATAAATGCTCTAACATCACATCATTTTTCCCTTTCCAACTCTCTCTAATGGTAATTACCTTTTCAGTTCAGAAATCAGAACACAAATTATGCTTCAGTTCAATAAGCCCAATCCCAATTCTATCGCATTTACCTAGTGTAGTTGTTTAAGAATCACATATGTGCATTAAAGGGGATACAAATTGCATCCTACTTTGTTGCAATCATCAAGAAACAGAATCACATCAAGCAGCAGCATATCTATATCACATCAAGCAGCAGCATATCTATAAATGAAAATTTTAGGATGAATGTAAAACTTGGTGAATCAGTTAAAATAATAAAATAGACTAAAATAGTAAAAAGCCATGTATTTTCCCATAAATCCCTATTCTTCTATTGTACCCAATTGAGCGCTTAAGTTACTATTTTGTTTAATTAAGCAATAATATTAGATGGAAACCGATAGAGTCCGTTACTTCTGCTATGTCATTATGTATGTGATTGCTATCTTTGCTACATTAATATCCACATGACAAAATATGAAAATTCTCATTTGAGTCGATGCATACATGGCATGTAGCACTAGCTTACATGGCATGCCACATATGTGTCAATAGAGCCCTTATTTTGCAGCTGCATACCATGTAGGCATTAACATAGCAGTAATAGCGACCACGCAGATGTTGACATGGCAAAGATAACTGATTTTAACAGTTTCTATCCGAAGAAGAGTTCAAATGGGTACAATAGAAGCATATGGACTTATCTGTAAATTTTGAGAAAGTATAAAGGTTTTTTAGTATTTTAGCCAATAAAATAAGTATGTTGGATGCATACTTATCTCTAACAATATAGCAGGCTTCAATTAGTAGTATTGGTCTCTCTCATCCATTTGTCATCATGTATGTACACTAGGCAACAAAAATGGGTGCCTAAAGAAATACTCTTGTCTAGTAAGCACGATTTGACAATTTTTGACTCACTGTACAAGGACAATTTTTTGGATGCAATTATGTGCACTCTATGGACTTATTTATGATATTATCTTGTACTACCACCACGCAACAAAATGGGTAGCTAAATGAAAAGTAAATACCTCTCTATTAGTTACTATTATCATTATTGATGGAAAAGTAAACACCTCTTCTCGTTAACCATTTTAAGGGTCTCAATGACTAGTCATTAGGCTTTCATTATGCAAATCTTCAACAATTTTAAGAATGCCGCATAAGTGGTTGAATTTTAAAATCATGGTTATTTTTAGATTTTATCAGACGCAAAGTGGCAGGGTATCCATCTAATGAAGAATGTAATGCAGAATATTATGTGTTGGAGGCAACTGTCTTGGAAAAGTAAGAAGAAACTCTTTGCAAGATCAGGAGTAATATCAATCTTTTGAGTATGGGAATACCACTTGTAAGTTGCTCTGCTTCAAATACATGTTGGAGGAACTTGGTTTCCAGAAATTAAATCCTATGACGCAATGACAAGCAAATGTTCATACATATCAAAGTGGATTGCCACTTTTTTAAAAAAATTATCTACAATATGATTCATACACAAGCAGTTAGAACAGTGACCCAACTTATGCATGTCACTGAGATAGTTACGGATTCTAGAGTCAGACACACTTGTTACAAGCTAGGCAAACATGACATGTATACTCTATCTTGAAAGGTAGTGTTAAGAATCAAGTAAAGGGAGGTCTATTAGCATTTACGTACTTATATTAGTATTTAACTATTTATGTACTTATTGTTCTAATATAAATCTAGTGGAGATAACCACAAAGGTAGATTTCTCTAGTCTTTCCCCTCACCTCACTCTCCCCCCCTCCCCCATTCTCTCCATTAAAGTATGTGTCTTTTTGTGTAAGTGCGAGCATGCATGTGGCTATGTCAGCAACAGATGCATGTAGTTTTTACAAGGAAAAAGATAACGTCATGTTGTCCACAAGTTATGTTTTATTGGAGATAGAAATTTGGTATGATGATGATTTTAGTTTATGATCATGGTTAATCTTTTGCAATGCATTAGGCAAATGAATGAAATTAACATACATATGGCTCCCACGCATAAGACCAGAAACCAAAAATAAACAGACATACAAGGCTCCCTTTGCACAAAATCCAGATGCTTAACAATTCCACAGAGACTGTTCCTAGGGCACTGATCCTGTGTCAATATAAAACAATACAGCTCTGGGTGCAAAATGTGTCACTGACACAATTTTGGACTTTGCTTTGAGCATTCTGGCCTCTATCAATCACAAGGTTGGCTTCAAAACAATAACAGAAAGGCAAATTGCAGCTTAATGGGGGTGCGGGTGTGGGTGTCTGTGTAAGAGAGAGATAACAGGCTGGCAAAGAGAAGTGAGTTTTCAGAGTGCAGCCAGAAAAGGAGAAGAGGTCTTCTAGGGCATATTTTTATGCCAAGTATATTTTTATTTTTCTCTTTCCAAATTGGGCTTGAAACAAGAGTTTACCTCAGAAAAATGAATCCATTGAACTTTGAGTTCCCCACCCCAGCAGTTTCTAATCCAAAATTTGTCTTAACAAATTCTCCTGCCTAGCCACTGATCATACACCTCCCAACTTCAATTTATGGGCTTATGCCCTTCCAAGAAAAAAGTAGTTAAAATTCATACTAAACAAATATGGGTTTGGTTAAGGAAAGTTTTAAAAGAAAAAAATTTATAGAAAAAATATTTTCTTCCTAAACTTTTCATTATATAATCATAAGATGGTTGGCTCTAACTGTATCCTACTTACCATCAGTATTTAGGAGACCAATTGTATATCTACCAAAATCTTATCAACCACACAGTAGAAAAAATAGCAGCACTTAGATTCATACATGTATCTTGGGTCGGGTTTCTCATATTTTCTTTGGAATTGTACAAATGGAGAATGTGATTCAGAATTCTAGATGAGAGAAGGACCACTACAACATGAATATTGACAATCCACCTATATACACAAGAAATTATGCATACTATGACTCAAAGGTAGACATGCCACACACTTGCCAACAAACAAATAAAAAGCACTTGAGCTCATAAGAAGAATAATATGAGAAATTTTAAAATATTCTTCAAGCAACCATGCATCTATATGTTAATGTACGTTGTTTGTGCAGAATTGTGAATGCATGTGTTTCTTTATATATGCATACCAGAAAGCTAAAAACAACATACCTCCACCACCACTCATGGTCTTCAGCAGCAAGTTGAAAATAAGTCAAAGCCACAGTGATAAAAGCAGTGACAATCAAGAGAATGATAAAGACAATAAACAGGATGCTGTATATGGTGTAGATCCTATGTCCCCACACACTGGCAAATATGTAGTAAAGTTCAATATAGATAGCACTGAATGGCAAGAACCCTGCCATTGCCATCTGAGGAAGAGTTTTCCGGTACCAAGGCAATGGTGGGATCTCTCTAGGATATTTTGTGGTGCGACAAGGGGCTTGAAACTCTGCCTTGCTATTCTTTCCAGCAATACCTCCTAATACTAATAAAGGAGATGTGACCAGCGCCCATATGAGAAAAATCACCACAATGGTTCCAAATGGCAATGCTGCTGTGGCTTTATAAGCAATTGCAACAGTATTAAGAAAGCAAAATGTGACAAAAAGAGGTCCGCAAAACAAGCTTCCAGTCAGTAACAAGTTTCTCACCTGCCATGAAAAGGGGTAGGAATAGTCATCGGAATTGACCAAAAAGATAATCAAATTTTAGTAGGACATTTTCACTTTAGGTGCCATACCATTCTAAAATGAGGTTAGCATGTTTTAGTCACAAATTCCTACTTTCCGTCATTGAAGATTCAGCAGCCAAGAGAGGAAGGATTAAGATAACAAATTCTTAAGTGCCATTGCATGATGCTTATATTAAAACATTAGTAACCATAAAATCAGCTTCAAGAAAGAGCATTATACGACTCAGTTCTGCTTTTCGAAGGACAAATGCACATTATAGTAACAAATAATTCAGTCATCTTTTCCCTTTTCTATTTTTCTCAAAAACCAAAATTGAGAGGGCGCATAGAATGTTCTCAAGGACAAGCGGAATATAATTACTACAATTCTTTCACATTACGGCATTGTGGTAACACCGTAGGTAGAGTATTTTCTCACTCCTTATGGAAAACTATGTGTATTATAACATATTTAGATACCTTGATGACCCTAACCTGATATGAATAGTTAAAAACTCAGGACAAACACCAACCTGGTGATGAAAACAAGTCGCCAGGTCAACTATTCAGCAGTCAATCTAGTGATCAAACAATCTTTTTCATATGATTAGTTAACTTTGTGCAAGAGAGATTAGTTCAAATCAGATGATTAGTTATAACTTGGTTGAGTGAGGTCAAGTATAAGAGAATCATGTCAGTCAAATTACAAGAATCCAATTGAACTTGGAGCAGAATGCCTCAAAATGTAGCTTTAGAAGGATTCTGTCAAAGTGGGGGTAAAGGATAAATTGGTTTGCAGGATGATCATGGGAAAAATTCTATCAACCCAGGCTATTATCTTCTTAACCAAAGGCCTGACCCTAGGATAATAAATTTTCCTTCTCATCATATGGTAAATGACAGAATTTGGAAAAGTGTTTGGAATAAAGCAGCAGACAAAAGTGAAAATCCTTTTGGAGAATGTTTGCAAAAATGAAAGAAAAAGTGGTGGATTCTCTGAGCTGCATCTTCTGCGGAGTTGAGTCTAGAAAATTGAACATATTGTCTTACTCTATGAATGGGAAAGAAAGGTTTGGTTTGGAAGGTCTAATGGCTTAAACAATAATATGGATGAACCTACCAGGTTTGATAAAATGGCTTATGGAAATATGAATTCTAGTGGAAATAAAAAGCAAAACTCAACACTTATGACTATTGTCGTTTTCAATCTGTGGAAGATATGGGTAATTTCAAATTAGGGTTTAAGCAATTTCAGGTTCAGGCTGTTTCGACTTCTGGTCATTTTGAATTCAGGTCTTTTTGAGCCTTTCTTGAGTTCAAGTTGAGTTTGGGGTCTGAGTTAAAAAGTATTGGTAATTAACTTTTTAACTAAAAAAAAGTTGTTAGTTTTAAGTTTTAGTATCAACTTCAGGTTGTTACAGGTCTGGCTTGGAATTAGGGTTGGCAGCCCAACCCAAGTCTGACGGATTCCGACCCGACCCGACCTCATAGGGTCAGTTTTTTTTTTTTTTTTTTTAAATCGGATTTCGGGTCGGGTTTTAGTAAGAAAAAAAATCGGGGTTGGGTTTTAGGCAAACCCAACCCAATACTATATTAAAATTTTTTTTTAATTTTTTATTTATATATAATTATATATTTATATATTTATATTTAAAAAATAATATTTTATATTTTAAATAATAATATTTTATTATTTTAGGTCAGGTACGGTTTATACAATATTGAGTTTTCAGTCGGGTTTGGGACAAGCAAAAACCCGTCTTGACCCGACCTGTTGCCAACCCTACTTGGAATGATATTGGGTTCGGGTCATTCTTATTTCAGATCTTTTCGGATTTGGATCATTTTAGGTTAGTTAGATTATGCCAGTAGTCCTTGTACCATATGAAAGTTTGGAATTTAGTCCTTATACTGTAATTTATACAAATTTAATCCTTATATTATTTGATTTAATAATCCCAATCCTTCCCTCTACTGGTGTCAAAATTTCTCGATTAAAATTCGATGACGAGACGGTTGACTTACTGACGTGTACATTGACTGGACTAACTTGGCATTTTTATTAGTTTAAATTTAGAGAGATGTTGATGTGGATTAAATGACATGCCACGTGCATTTTTTAATCCATGTCAACATTTCATTTAATATTTTTCCAAAAAATTTAATAATTAATTTAAACTAAAAACTTAATAATTAAAATTTTTTTAAAGTAAAAACTTTGTATCTAAAACAAAAGAAATCTACAAGAAAAATGAAACAATCTAAACTCCCAAAATCAAATAACCAAATCTTGTCTAACCCTAAAATCCAAATAAAAAATCTCTTACCCAAATCCCACAAACACTTACCTAAAGATGGAGGAGATGCGAAACAAAAGATAACTATGTTCTTTGCTTGACCCTCTTGCAAATCCCAGCTCTCAATCTTCTCTCTAGACTGTACGTTCACTTTTTTTAATTACTACAATTTTTTTATTTTCTTACCAAAGATGATTTCTGGACTGTCTTTTCATTTCCTTTTTTTCAAAGGGTAAAATTTTCAGGGTTTTTTTGAGAGTTACTTTGGTAAGTTTAAGGTTTTAAGGTTCGACACATGATTCTAGGATGTTTCTGCATTGGCTTTTGACATCAAGATTCTTGTTGTTGTTATTCTTTTCCCCCTGGTTTGGCTCCTATTGTAGCTTTTAGTAAGAAAATATGGCCTTTTTACAAAAAACTTGATGTCATGTGTTTTGCCGGAGAAGGGTCTTGATTTATACTCTTTGTTTGAGTGTTTGGTGGAAGGAAAATGTTGTGAAGCTGACCTGGGGTAGCTTCTTTCTTTCTTTCTCAAAATATTTGGATATTGTGTTGTTATTTGAAAACTTTGCAAAGAGTTTTTTCTGGCTTTCAGTTTATGGATTTCAAAAGGATTTAGGGCTCTAAATTTGGTAGAAAGGAAGAACAGGCAAGCGGAAGCACATATAGGGAGGTGGGAACGATTGGCATGCCAAAAGGGTATTTTTTTAGGGATTTAAATCGCAGGTCAAATCTTAGATCTAGGCTTTTCAGAACATATTTTGAAAAATCTAGTTAGGTAGAATTGTAGAAGAGACAATGAGGTTTTTTTTTTTTTTTGGGATTTTTCTGTCATCGGCGATCAGAGGTCATAACCAAGGAAGGCAGAACACATGGAGGATCACCAGGATCAGGGATTTCTACTGGATACTGGGAAAGTATGAATTTTCCGGCCATTGGGTGTTTAAGTTTGGTGGTTGCAGTGTTTGTGATTTTTAATTTGTTTTTTTTTTTTTTTCAATTTCAGTCTCTTTTAATATTTAAATAATAAATGAAACTACTTATGTTTAAGAAAAAAAGAAATAAAATTTTAAAATGTGACATGGTGTTAATTTTCATGCCATGTGGAATTTTTAAGTCCACGTCATCACCAGAAATAATCTCAACAAATCAATATCCCATGTCAACTAAGTCAACATACATGTTAGCAAATCAACCGCCATGTAAGCAATTTTAACGAAGAAATTTTGACGGTGCTTACGATTGGACTGAAATTATTATATTGAAATAGTAAGGGAACAATTTGTGTGAATTATAATAGAGGGATCAATTTCAAATTTTTGGATGGTACAAGAATCTCTAACATAATTTGACCTTTTAGGTTCGAGTTTCTTCGTGTTAGGGTCTAACTTTTTGGTCAATTTGGGTCTACGAAGGTTCTAGGTCAAGTTCCTTTGAATGGGTTTTCAAGTTTGAATTCATTTTACCACCTCTAAATTTTAGGTTTAGCTTAAGCATATCTATGTTGTTTTAGGTTTTGGATTATGAATAATTGAGATTTTGAGATATTGAAAGTTGAGATTTTCTACCTTTGTCGATTCTTTCTAGTTTTCTCCCCTATTTCTTCTATTTCTCTCCCAATTTCCTATGATTTTCCCATTAAATTACAATTATTTATCTGTTTTCCCCCACTTGTTCTACATCAAATTGGTATTAGAGTTCAATCTAGCTTTCACTATCAGCATATCTTCTCTATCCATGTCCTAAGCACACAAAAAAAAAATCTAAATTCCAAACAAAACTCCAGCCAAATTCATTTTAAAAAAAAAAACAGTTCTATTTGAACGAAAATTCAGAAATTTAAAAATATTTAAAATCAGCTCTTCAAAAATAAAAATTCAGCTAACACACTCCATGCATCAGCTCTTCCGTTCTTTAGTGATACTACCAACATGTAGCATGCCAGTAACCTGCCATGTTTTCATGCACATCCTAATTCCAATTTTGAGTCCGTTTTGCAAGAATTCCCTAAAGGATTCCTCAAAATGTAACATCATGTCTATTTTAAGTGAATAAGATGATTATTATTATAAACTAGAAAAGGATTCCTCAACATGTAACATCTCATCTCTTTCTCTCACCTCCAAACTAATAAATAATTTATAGACAGGAAACAGGAAGAGAGACAAGCATTACATACCCAATTTGTTCCTTCTAACTGACAATAGAAAGAGGCTGCAGTGTAGCCAGCAATTCCAGATGTAAGGGCATAAATGACGACCAGAGCAGTGAATAAAGCTCCTCGGTTATATGGATAAAAGACCCCAACGAGAGCAAGGACAAAGATGAAAATTGTACTGGGAAAGGATACAAATAAATAGACAGTCACAAGATTCATCAGAAACAAAACCAAGTGAAACCCTCCCTTTTCTCTTTCTTTTTTATGGAGAATAGCAACTGACCATAGTGGATAATACTCACAGAGTAAAGAGCTGAGTGCCAGAACCAAGAGCAGCTGCAAACAAAGACTTGTGCTTTGGGTACCTGAACACATCACCATGAATGTACTTCCACCCAGTCTCCTCCTGGTCATCTGCCGATTCCTCGTCATGTGCATACCTAACAAATAAGGAATACAGGAATCGAAAAATACAACCATGTAATTCGATTTAAGTATGGATTTTCATGCATCAAAACAAAGGGAAATGATCCATACTTAACGAAATCGTTCTTAAGGACTCGCATAAGAATGGTGGCTAGGAAACCAGTCAATAACAAAACGGTGACACATGAATTGATGATTGAGAACCAATGGATTTCCAAATGGTGTGGCAATGAAGAAGATAGCGAGTACTTGTCCATCCGCTTCTCAAACGGAGTGTCTGTTTCCTTCCATTTAACAGTGTACATGAAATCCACATTGACTGGTTCATCGTCTTCCGTGAGGTCCACAAGGGCGTTGGGATCAGATCGAACAGTAATCTCAATGACACGATCTTTATTGTGAAGGATCTCGAAAATGAGATGCTTGAAGAGATAATATTTGTACTCGCTTGGATCGGCCTTGCCTTCCTTATCAACTTTCCCTAAGAAACCCCAAATGGGAAGGTCATCGTAGTACATTTGGAAGTAATAGTCTTTTGACACTGCGGTGCTGAACTTAGCAACTTCTCCCTTGGTGAGCTTCCTTTTGCAGGCAATTTCAGCCTCTTTCTCACTTAGAAACTCAAGTTTGTACGGGGCACTCACTAGCCGATCGCCATTCAACACTTCACCCAGAGCTTCCTTTTTCTCCTTCACGGGGGCTGACGAACAGAATGGAAAATCGAAGTAACGGTAGGTCTCACTGTTGATTCAGGAAAAAAATCAAACACAAAACAAAAGTGAAGGAAATTCAAATTTCAAAATTCCAAGTTGAGATCCAAAATCATAAGGACGGAATGAAGAAATACCTGGGATTGTGGAAGGGACCCACTTTATTAGCATAGAGAGGAACTTCATCTCCAACTTTGTAACGATGATCAGAAGCACTGGATCTCACCTGGGCTACGCCGCATAGGCTCACAACGGCCACCGCGACCAAACACGCCCTTATTCTCTCCATTTCCTCACCTCAGCCAGCCAAAGGAAAGGACAAAACTTTCTTCACAAACGTGTTACCCAGCAAGGAAACGTTCTATACTTTTTATGTGTTTTTGTATAGTATTGGTTGCAGTTGCTACTATATTTATTTATTTAAACTTATTAAAAAGAGTGAGAAGCACTCCACATCCAAACCATCTCTAACCAAAGGATAATGACCGCACAACCATAAGTTGTTCCGAAATTAGACACACTCCAACCTATCCATTTATCTAGTTCTATTACTTGCATTTTAACCCAAATCAATCCACCTCATTTCACGATTATTATTATCAAAAAAACACAAAACCCACCCTTCCTTTATCACACAATAACGGTAAAAGGGTAAAAAAAATCTAAATTTAAATTCAAGAATTATCTAAGTTTTTTATTTTAATTAATTCAATCCTTGCATATTTACTTTCATCAATCGAATTTTTATTAGAGAAAAAATAATTAACTGTTTCTCTTCAATCAAAAACTTAATTAAACAAAAATAGAAGTATAAGGGTCCAATTAAATAAAAATAAAAATTTAATAATTCAATTGATTTGAAATAAAGATTTAAGTCTTAATTAATTATAATAAAATATTAAAAATTTAAATAATTATTAAATTTTTATTTGAGAGTTTTTTTTTTACCCTTTTGCCTATAATAATTTTATGCAATGTAATTCTTTTTTATGTTTAATACATTTCATTTTTTATATTTATTGATTGATTATATTGATAGTTGAAATATTTTAATACATTAGTTTTATTAAAAAAAAAATTTTTGATATATGAATATCATAACGATTTTTCGTTTGGGAGGATTCGATCACTAACTTAAAAAAATTATTAGAATCGTTACTATTTTTTTTTTGTAAGGCGTGATTGGTCGCTCAAAATTATTTTTTTAATAAAATATTTAAAACAAGTTTAGAGCATGTTAAAAGAATATTTACAATCTACGAAATTAGGATCAAGTCATGGTTACGAGTGGAGAAGATATCAGTACCTCCACATCGATCGTTCGAAAAATGATACCAATTAAACATGTATTACTTTTTAATTTTAATGATATGATCTTATTTATATTTAAAATTAATTCCTAAAATTTATTTATGAAAAATATTTTTATTATGAAATTATTATTATTATTATTATTATTATTATTATTATTATTATTATTATTATTGTATAAATTCTCTAATGCTTTAATGAAATTTATAAAACATATATTTATTCAGAAAAATTTCAAAAAAATTGACTACTTACAAAATTCTTGAAGTTTCATTATAAGATATTTTGTTTATTTATTAAAACTAATTTTAGAATTATCTTGATTCTTAGAATTGACTACTTACAAAATTCTTGAAGTTTCATTATAAGATATTTTGTTTATTTATTAAAACTAATTTTGGAATTATCTTGATTCTTTGGTTAAATCCTAAAATTTTTTTAAATTGATTTTAAAATTATCCCGACTCTTCTGTAAAATTCTAAAAAATTTTAAACAAATTTTAAAATCATTTCAACTTTATAACAAGATCCTAAAAAAAAATATTTTTTTATTGAGGATAATTAAGAAAAATGAGATTCTCCCAATTTTTCTTAAAATTCTTATTTAATAGATTTAATTAAATATTTAATTAATTTTTATTGTGACTTTTTTTGTTTTCTGTTATTATTTTCTATTTATTATTTTCGTCTTTTTTTCTTATTATTTAAATAAATTTTATTTAGTAAAAATAATTTTTTGGATTATCTCAACTCTTCGGTGAAATCCAAAAACATATTTTGGGTAATAATTAATATATTCATTTAAAGAAATACTTTTATTTTTTATTATTTATTATTATTTAAGTAAATCTTTATTTAGTAAAAATAAATTTTAAATCATCCCAATGCGAAATCTAAAAAATATTTTATTTTCATTAATTAAAAAAATTAAACCCTTTCAATTTTCTTGAAAAATTATGTTTTAAAAGATTTATCAAAATAATCAATTATATATTAATATTTTATTTTTTTAGCAAAATTAATTTCTTAAATTATCTCAACATTTTTGTGAAATTCAAGAAATATTTATACTTGTAAAATTATGGGAAAATAGAATTATTTCCACTTTTTCTTAATGTTATTATTATTTTGTTTATCCTTTATTTTAAATTAAAATCTTAATATTTATATGTTTATTTTCTTACATTTTTATTTTTCTTGATAATTATTTATTTTTTAGTAAAAAAACATATAAATATATATAAATATTATCAATCATAAATTCTAAAAAAAACTTGAACAAACAACAAAAATAAAAATAAAAATCAAATCAAATCAAAAAATGAAAATACAATAGAAAAGGAAAAACTAACCAAATGGGCCAGGTCGTTAGTGGGTCGAGATGCGGATCTTGCGTGGGTCAAATGTGGATCAAGACGCCAAAATGGCATTGTTTTGGTGGCCTATAAAATAAGCCTCTTTTGAGGTTTTTTTTTTAAATTTTTTCCTCTATTCATTTTCTATAAACCAGACCCTTTTTCTCTAAAAAATTAGCTCTCTTGTCGGTCACCATGAAACCCAAATTTTGATCGATTGTTACCGTGCACTAGTGGTTGAAATCTTCAATACTATCTATAAATTAATCAAATCCCAATTTTGGCCAGTTTCCTAGTATTCAATGGTTGAAAAACTCAAATAGTCACTGGAAAATTTAACTTTTCTAGATTTCGATCAGGTTAAAAAAATTTTCAAAAAATCCTAAAATTTCACAAAGCAATCTTTACAGCCTCCTAAACACCTTTTTCAACCTAAATTTCCAAAAAAAAAAATCTTAAGTTTACCATATCAAGATTTTTTAGTTTCATTTTTTTTTTTTTTTTTGCTGTTGGTTCCTTTATTCAAAGAGAATTGTGATATTTTTGCTTATGGTTATTTATTTATTTATTTTGGTTTTGATGGAATGGATTATTGGGGCTAGGTTAGGAATGTACAGTATGTTTGAAGTTAGGGCTAAGTGCTGGGCTATGAAAGTGATAGCGTAGGAATGATGCTTTTGGACAAAGGCTAGGTGCAATACATGGGTGGTTTTGAGTTTTTCTTTTTTCTTTTTGGTTTGGTAGAATCATCTTTATAAAAAAAATTTCTGTAAAAGTTTCTTTAAAAAAAAGCTCTTTCTATCTCTATTTTGTCTTTGTAGATTGGTTCTATATATAAAGCTAATTTGGATATCAAAATCTTTAATTTTCTGAGATTATTATGGTTTTCTGGGGTTATCACCAGTGCAAAGTCAGGCAAAGAGGTTGGTTTTCTGAAATTTCTACTTTAAAGTCAGGCAAAAGAGGCTGAAATTTGATGCATTTAATACATTGAGGACTTTAGCGAAAAGGAAGAAAAAAATCAAAGAGATGTCAGAACAATAAAGAAAATGAAAAAAATATATAAAATAATAATGATGATGATGATGATGATCTAGTATAAAATAATTAGCTAAATTTAATTAAAGTATTCAACTAGATTTAAGTGGAAACGATAAACGATAAACGATTCAGATTTATTTTGACACAATATTCGATTTCTCGAATAAAATAGGTGTTTATAGCTACCTCTCTTTACATATTGCTGAAAATCAAGAATAGGGTAAAGATGAAAAGACAAGAATTTTGTCCGGATAAACATGATGTTACAAACATGAAACTCCTTATTTTCTTTTGTTTTGTTTTTTTTTTTTTTTTTGTGAAAGAAAGAAAACAGAAAAGCACACCATATTTTTTTTTACTATCAACTAAAGATAATTTATTATTTTTTTGAAAGCTCCTTTAACTAGAGGCTTTAAAACTTTGAAAATAGCTCTATTAACTAAAGGCTATGACACTTTAAGAAAGCTTTTTCGACCAGAGGTAATAAAATTCTAAATAGCTCCTCTAACTAAAGGCTATGAAACTTTGATTAAAAATTTGAAAGGTAATGAAACTTTGAATTAAAAATTTGAAAGGCAATGGTATTTGAAAGATTCCTCTAAGCAAAGGGAATGAAACTTGAATGATTTCTCTAATAGAGGCTATGGTATTTGGATGAATCCTTTAATAAAAGTTATAAAGTTTGAATGATTCCTCTAAATAAAAGGCTTACATTTTTTTTTTATTTTGACTTTTTTTTATTGGTCTTGGATTATCCTAGACCCATATATTTGTTGTGCCACATGCGTGCTTGAATGAAATTTTCATGTTTTTGCAATGTCATACAATGAATACTGATCATGATGCAAATGAAAAAACCATATTCTTTCTTTTTCATTTTATGTCATTTTTTTTAATCTTCAAAATTTCTCATTTTCTCTTTCCCTTTTTCTTTTTGAATCCCATGCATTTAGCAGTTGATTAGGTTTGGATAAAAATGTTTCTCTTTATATTTCTCATATTCAATGTTTACCACTTTTATGATTTATAAGCCTCTTTTCTCATCGACCTCTGTTCCTTACTATTTTGCTTATCATTTTAAATTTTCTACAAAGTAATGTGTGCGTCTTTCATGGTCATTGTTACTTACTCATTATCTTTCGAATTTCATGACAAACATATCACACATTCTCTTTTTTTTTTTCATTTTTTTTCTTAATGAGGGGGACAAAGGGAAAGGATAAATATAGATTTATTTTATTTCAATAGAGGAGAAACATTTCATGCATCATTCAAAAAGATGTAACAAGAAATATAAGTAATCACCTAATGAATATTCAAATCATCATGAACCAATTTCATCAGGGATTCTTTTTTCAAAACCTTTGATTGATGCCCTTGACTTTTTGAAATACAGCAAACAAAGCTTTTTTTAAAACTAATGAGATGTTCTAACATATACTGAAAATTGGCCTACTTCATTCAATACTTTTTTATCTATATTACATTTTCAGGTTTTCAACTTAGATATCTCTTCAGTTCGTGTTGTCTTTTTGCCTCTATCATTTTTTAGGCGTAGTACTTTTTTACTACATAGGCATTGACTAAATTTGGCAAACTATCCCCATCCATTCTTGCCAAGGTCAATGCCCTACTAGAAAACGCTTTCTTTACCGCATATGGACTCTCCCAATTAGAAGTCCATTTTTCTTGAACATCTTATTGGTTGGGAAGAATCTTTTTCAAAATTAATTTTTCTTTTCAAAATTGTTAAAGGTGAATTTTCTTATCATGAGCTTA